GCAATTAGTTCATAAGAAGTTGAGTGAGATTCTCCGAGAAGTAAAATAGAAATGGTAGCCATATCAAAGCGTTATTCTGTAACGGTAAAATATTCTATACGTTTGAGAAAATAATTTTGTGCGGCTTTGTTGGAGATCTACAGTCTGAGTATAAAAATTTATTGTTACGATGTCCATTCAGCTATTTCCATTCAGAATTCTGATGGAGGCATGCAATCCGAAAGAACAGAGGGAACAATAAAACTGTAAAAATAAAATAACAGAAAGAAAAATATTAAAATAACGATAAAAGTTACTGAATAGTGCATCATCGAAAGTCCAATTCAAAAATTTTCATTTTATGCTAGCGTTTCGGTTCGGGGGAAACGGTCGAGCCGGTATTCAAGGAAAATTGCAAGATAGTATCGGGTGTTTTATAAAGAACGCAAAGATTTCCATGGGGCGAAAATCGGAGGGTAAAAGGAAACGAAATTGACTGCGGAGAAAAATAAAAATATTTCGCGTCGCTGAAAATTGGCCCGGCCTTTCGAAACGTGACGGTACGCTTTCATTTAACGACAGCTACTGATAATTATTTTTCACTTTTAATATTCCTGTGTGACGCGTTATTTTCTCCAGTTTCTTTTTTTTATATGTATATATAAATCGCAAACACGAACTTCGATTTATCGAAGGGCATGTTTGTTTCTATCGGGTGGCGGTTCCGCTAATTGGAAAAAGTCAGTTATGAACACGCGCACGGTCGACGATTTTTCAATATATGCATATAAACTTTGTCCACCATGACGTCGCAGCGGTACATAGATGGAACGAATTCGCGGACCATCGGAATGCACTTTTATTATTAACGAAATAGATGTCCGCTGATGGATCTGCCAGCTAATATTATTGGTCACGGGCGCTGTGCTTGTTTTTTTATTTTTTCAAATGCGGGGCCTTCGCTTCGAATATTCCGAGATACGCGGGAATATCCATAATGCATGGATTTTTTAATTAATTTCGCTAGAAACTCTGACAGCATGTGAAAATCTGTGCATCGGTTATCCTAAATACGAGCGTGAAACATGTTAATACAGTTTCTAATGTTTCAGATTTGATCAGCAATAAATGTTTCGAAACACGTTCACCGTTTAAGAGTCCATGCACGCGAGCGATGCGATTCCGCTACGGTGTCGTAACGATTATTTTGGAGTAACAGAGAAACAAAGTTCTTCTGTCTTACATAAAAGAGACAAAAGAACTCTACGTCTGTGTTCTTCTTAACGTTCTTCTGCGGCGCGGCAGCGGGATCGCGTCGCACGTGTGCATAAATTCTGAAGATCAATACTACAAATAATAAACACTGATAAATAATTTTCACAAATATCATATTAATTCTCTCAAAAATACTAAATAATCATTTTTACATTGGATCTCTCAGATGAAAAATAATCTGCAAGAAGATGTAAATGCTAATCGCTACAAACCTCAATTTGTCCATCTCCTCATTAATCAAATTCCTCTGAACGCATATTTTTTAAGCAACCAGTGCATTAATCCGTGTAACATCGTGTCAGACGCGTGATCAAAATTTTACACAGAATCCGACAAATGTAACCGTTATTTACTTTCTTTTCAATCTAAATTAAATATTAATCTCCTAACATCAAACGTTAACCTTTAAAGTGAAAATATACACAGGATAAGCATCAAATCCTCTTCTTTTTCTAACAAATGATCAACAACAAAGTAGTTGTATGATGAGCAGTTGCAAAGGAAATCACAGGGCAAGGGTTTAATGTAAAACCTACGAATCTCCATCCATCGATCTCCTTGTTCTAAGCGAAAACCGAGACGCCGTCTAGGTATCAGCCAACCCGATGAATGCTGGGGATCGGAAGGTGCTCACGTCTGAAGTAGTCTGAACGACTTTGTCCTGGTCGATTCCGTCCGCTTCGGTGCCCTTCAATGCCTGCCATCGCCACGTCCTAATTATTCTGGTAATTATTCTAGCCATTATCGTGCCGACAGAGGATCGATAAAAGCGGCTACGGAACCGTTTATGAGATAAAGTTAGGGAGGATGTGCCTTACGTAGTCACCGCCGGGCCGCGCCGCGCCCCTGTCTGTCCGCCGCCGTTCAGCCATTTTCCCATCGATAATCTTCCACGGCGCGATCGTGTCGCCAAAGCCGACCACGGATTTCGACGTGACGCCGCGGCGACCCGCTCTAACGAGAATCCAATAATCCCCAATTCTCCGGGACGATGCTCGGCAAATAGAAGTTTATTCGAAAGGTGGCGCGCGCTCAACGGACACCGTGATCCGCGGATAAATACGTGTTCACGCCGTTCCGACGCTGATGCTCGGTTCCTTTCGCTTTCACGTTATTCCGCTGAAACGATCCGGCGGCGATTTTCGCGAGGTAATAGTCGATTTTCGTAGCAATAACTGTGACCGATTACTAAGGAGAGATTGAAATTCGAATCAGTTCGTGATGGTTACGAGACCCTGAACTTAGTATAATGAACCCACAGGTATAGAATGCTGCCTGCAGGTTATGGTGCTCGTGGTCGTTAAACTTCGACACCGGGTGAACTTCGTCCGACGATGAGTTGGCCGATACAGAACGACACCCAGCGCGCGGTGTGTGCTGGCGAATGTTGAGACTTCGGGTGCTGTTGTATGTTGTGGTGAAGTTAAGTTTCTGCGGCGATACTGGTTTTGATACGGATTTTTGTGAGGATCGGGTGGCTACCGAGATGTTGAATTTTGATTTTATTGTTGCGAAAATTCATTTGGTTAGAATTTTGTTGATTTATTTGTAATGTATCTTAAACGCGAGGACAAGTTTGAATTTAGTAGAATTTTCGTTAGGTTTGGTAGTTTATTTGTTATGTACAGTAAATTCAGAACGAAATATCCGCAGCTTCCAACAAACGTGCCCAATACTTCTAATTCTCACCCCCCTGTATCGATTTAAACCGGCCGTTAACCACAATCCCAGAAACAGGAAATACTCCAATATCCCCTATAATTTCACCGCTTCCGTCGGACTAAACCTTTCCTCGGAGCAATACACACAAACTGTCGGCGAAGAATACACGGGGAAACTTCCCCGGTTCGCGCCACGGGAACGCTTCTTCCCCGGCGCATCCTAGACAGTCGTTGTTTGTAGGTGCGCCGGGTGCGCGCCGAATGAAAAATAAAAAGTAGAAAAAGGAGAGGGAACGGAGGAAAGAGCAACAAGAACGGAAAAACTGTCCAAAAAAAGGCAAAATACGTGGAAACAACGGTTCGGAATCGATAACCGCGATAAATAACCGCGGGGCGAACGCCGGCGAGAGCACGCCAGGCAAATTACACAATTTGCGACCTAACGATAACGCGGGGCCCCGCAAATACTCGCGGTTCGGCAAACTTTTTTCCTCCGTTCCCCGTTCTTCAACCCCCGGTGGGAATAAATCTCGCAGTTGGCGAAGTCGTAATTTTCGCTCGTCCGCGGAATGCCGGTCGGTGATTACTTATTAGCCCGTAAGATGGCCCACGTTCTCAGCTAGCGCGCCACTGGGTTTTCACCTTCGATTTTTTCCCCTTGCCAACCTCCGGCGCGTCGACGCTCGAGGTCCAATGTCAGAGAGGGTCGACGGAGTCCAACGATTTATTCGATATTATGTAAATGGCGGGCGCCGAGGGACGGCGAGAAAGAAAGAGAGGGGTTGATCGGAAAGGAAAAAAGTAGAAGGACCCGGGAGCGCGAGGGGTGGAAGACCCGCGGGGGCAGAAAGGGTGATCCGAGAATCAACGAAAATGAGCCCAACGCGGACCGGAGAGCCGCAGCTTCTTTCATCTTCGGATATTAATTTCACGGTGGAAGGAGGGAGCGGACGAGCGAGCGAGCGAAAGAATCGGAGGGCCGGATTCGAACAGAGAAGAAATCAGGAACAGAGAGAACACCGTAATCCAATTTACCAATGTCTCTCTCTCGAGCCCGGGAGCTTTGTCTGGTTATCCCGGCCGATCTTCTTTTCGTGTCCCTGTCTTCCAGCGCGCCGCCCGGGAACCACTTCTCCCCCAAGATATTCCCACCCCTATCACCCTCGCGCACACTTGAGAACTCGCGAAGGTATGACTCGACTCGGGGTCGAGCCGCCCCCGGAGCTTTTTGTGACGTTTCCTTCGCAGCGGTGCGGCGCGACGCGGCGTCTCAAGTGGCGAGCTCGCTCACTCTCGTCTATTTTTTCGTGGATCGCTTTACACCGGCCGTTTCTCGGTGTCGCTGACCGAAAGCGTGACCGAATTCGTGCCAAAGATTGGAAGTGGAGAGCGTGAGAAGAAGGAGAATGTCGTTGAGGTGTGGGTTTAGTAATGTTATGGGGATTGATTGGTTTATTGTTTCTTTATAGGCAGAATGTAAGTTAATCTAATAGTAAATGCTCTTCGTGATTAATGTGGGTCGTGGTTACTATAGAAATCATGTTTAATGAACGGAATTTTTTAACGTATATTTGATATAAAAAGATTAGCTTTGTGTCATGTAATTCTTTTTATTAAGCTTGCTATAATTGGTTTGTTATTATGAATTTAACCTATATTCGAAATTTTCAATTTACGGAAATTATAAACTTACATTTTTGTTTGTGAGATAAATGTAACGCAGAATTCAATGGACGTCAAGACCTGTCAAGCTAATAGGAAAATACGGAAAAATCGTATCAAGTTATAGTCGCATGGCAAATTAATCGATACCTGACAAAAGATTTCCATTTCAACCCCGCATATATAAAGCATACAATCAACTCAGATCTACCGTTTAAATATATATACTATAACCAATGTAAACCCTATCAAACTCCAAAAAAGATCATAACCACGTTCACGAAGTTTGCGCTTTGCATTCCAGTGCCCGTCTGAACTCGTCGTCGACAATTCTGCGTTTCCAGCCCCGTTCCGCGTCGCATCTGCGCGCAGCTTTTGTCACCCCCACTCGGAGCAATCCCTTTAACGCTCGGGGGAAATATTGTTCCTGACTGCAGCACTCAAGACACCGCGTATTAGAGCACGCGACTCCTTTCTTCGTCCCTGATAATCGAATGAATCGTCGTGCACGTGGAACTGTAAGTACTTACACATCACGCTGTAAGAAATTTACTTATTCGTGGGATATCGGACTGCGAGGGGTGAAAAAGAGCAGTGACGCGCAACTTTTAGTGAAAATAGTAGATGATAGTAAGGTAAATGTATTTATGACTAACCAGTTGAGGTTATATGAATATAAATATAAATATAAATATAAATATAAATATAAATATAAATATAAATATAAATATAAATATAAATATAAATATAAATATAAATATAAATATAAATATAAATATAAATATAAATATAAATATAAATATAAATATAAATATAAATATAAATTTAATATTCTGCAGGTATTTAAATTATGAAAGCGGTTCTGCGAAAGAATCTCAAGAAACGTGTTGTTATAATTTTTATAAAAAATTCTAACTGCTCGGTGGTTTTAGCGTTAAATGGGGTCGCTTGTGATCCGCGGACCACGGGTTGTGCATCACTGGGGTAGAGGGTGGTTTTTCGAAGTCCGGCGAGAAGTAACGCCATCAGGAATACTTTCCTAAAGGGATCCCAAGGCATTTAAGGGGCATGGGGGATACCGGGTCGGGTCTAAGTGCAGTCAGGCTAGGGTTACCACTATGGCTTGTAATATAACCTGTGCCTTCTTGTCGGATAGAGATCAGGGAACCGCCTGGCCAACGGGGTAGAAGGAGAAACGAAGACGATCGGGGGATGGCTCGGTCCGCCCGGAACGTAATGGTATTTCCAGAGGAAGGGAGAAAGCTCGCCGGTTGCTGCCGATGTTTACCATAGGTTGAAAGTTTTCGGCTATTCCCCGCGATATCGCGTGAATACCGAACGAAAACGGGGGCGGCGGCTTGTGTCAAATACCCTAGCCGCGCAGCGGAATTACAATTAGCCATCGGCGTTGAGGAAAGAAGAATTCTAATGCCGTCTCGAAGGGATTGGTAATTTACTTTTAATTTTAATTCCGTCGTTTAGATGTTCGCCACTTAGCATTGGTAATCTTTCCATAGACCACACGGTGCGGGGAATCGGTTGCTGTGGTTAACGGGTCGGTGCAAATGAGATGTCTTTTTATTGAATACTAACTTTAACCGTGTTACGCTTCTTTGAAGCGTTGCTTATTTGAACTTAATAATACGTGCCTGATTTTGGACAGGTTTTACATAGACTACTTTAACAGAGATTAGTTTAACTAATTTCTATATAGCAAATGTTTAGACCTAGATATTCGTTTACTTTTCTAATCTGACTTTGTGAACGACTGAATGTTTTCTTTACAGAAATCGGCAGGTTGACAGCTTGTAACAAGCGTGGAATTTTTAATTATGTGGCTTAATGAACTCGACCATGATTTATGTAAAAGTTACGTAGTAGCAATGAAAACACAATTATCATGTATCTTTTCTATTTATCTATTTTCTGTAATATCTGTATTATTCTAATCAAATCAATTATTCTACTAATCGCAGGTCAATCTATTCTACTATCATCTACGCAAGTTTGCAGCAACAATGGGTTAGTTGTATTTTACCCAAAAAATGTTCTATTTCCTACACCAGCACTGATGTTTCAATAAATCTCAGCCTATAAAAGGTTAAACATCTCGAACAATTCCGAGCAACCCAGATTTACAATTTCCTGAGACTTCCCGGCTACGGCACACACGATCGAGGCCCGTCCCTCTTTTTTCTGTCCTCCTCCGGGAAGCAATTTTCTCTTAGCGAACTGGTGGCCGTCGCTAGATAAAATAGAAACTTTTGTAGCTAACTGGGCGCTGGTCTCGGATAATAAGATGAACACTGAAGTACGCGTGGCACGCTGGACGAGGCCGCGGTTCACAAAGGGTTACCCGACGGCCCTTTATTCGGACGGAATTGTATCTCGCCAGCGGAAACCGTAATTACCTTCAAATGACGCCGTTAAACGCGAACATTTAATCCAACAGGGATGGCGGGGAGGGGGAAGCGTAATGAAAGACATTAAAACAAATTCACTTCCGCGGAACGCTGAAAATGTTCGTGTTAAGGACAGACATTCGGGATTCGAACGCCCTCCCAACCGCGGGACATTAACATACCATCGAAATTGAAAAAAAGGGACGAAGGAAAGAAAGGAAAGGGGAAAGAGACGAAAAAGGAGAACGAGGGAAACGATCAATTCCGAAATTCCAAGCAAACACGCGGCGTCGCTGGCTAACATGAAAACAAAACGTTACGCGGGGATGCGCAGGAAAATAAGGGATCGCGAGAACAGAAGAAGATGGAGGGCGGTGTAATTAAAAAGTTTGCAGACAGGGGTTGTTGAGTGTAGGTCAGAAAGACTATCTGCCGAATAATTAAACGGTTATGGCGGAGAGGGCAAAGCTTCATCTCAAGTTCGGTTCGTTCTTCCAATGATTGGTGTTACGTCTTCTAGATCTGAAGCCAAATCAAGATGACGTAAAGAAGACGCCTTTTGCTACCGTAAAGTTACAAATGTCTATAAATGGTAAATAATCTACGCACGTCATAAACAAATCTACGTATCTGTAAAAAAAACTTCGCTCCGACTCCGACAGTTGAGGTAGTGAATTGGTTCAACCGACAACCAACAATGCGTTAAAATAAATTCAGTCATATCATCAAGTTGTGTCCATTGTGGTTCTCTTCTTCAAAACCTTTTTTAACGAACTATGGATTGCGCGATCTGTTTCAAGCTAATTAAAAGAACAACGCGACATAATCCGAAACAACTGGCTCACTTTTGAAGCAAGAAGCTCTTCTTGATGCCTTCACCCTGTTTCCACTTTTGAAAACCAGCTCTTGTTGGTGCTTTCACCATGTTCCCACTTTTAACCGAGCTAGTAACTACCATAACTGCGTTGCAAAACCACGGAGTCCCCTCTTTTATCGTTTGACCCCGTCTTCCTCTCGTTTACTTCGCGCGTTTCCTTCCAGACGTTCGGCAACAACGAGCAGCCGCCATTAACGCGGCAACCGTATGTCCGTGGTTCCTATTGTTTCGTAACTGCTGGAAAAATTCACCGTCGGCGAACGATAACGCAGCGTGTTCGCGGCTCGAGATAAATTCCGCCGCCGTTCAACGCCCGTTCTCCGTTCTCGTTTTTTTCTCGACCGTTCTCTCTACGCTCTACAGAACAAACCAACACTGACCCGTTTCCGGCGGAATGGTCGGAACGGAGAGTACGTATCTGGTTGTGCAAGGAACCAGACACAAATAACGGAAGTAAACGTCGCGCGGGGATCGTGTGCTCGAGTCCCGAGCTTTATAAACGGTAATTGCTTTGAGGGACGGCTCGAACTATCGAGCGATCGGGAAATTGTCGCATAGGATATTTCGTTGAGAAGATTCCGGGAGATAGCATTATACATTCGTAAAATACAATGTCAAATAATTAGTTTATTTAAAACATGGATCTTCTTTCATATAACATTAACATAATTTTCTTTCCCGTGTTTCAAAACGTGTAAGAAAATATATTTCAATTTTTGATGAATGATAAATCTCTAATAAGATTCTGTATGCTTCGCTAAGATCGTATTTATTAGAGAGACTGTGATAAATTAATACACTTCGACTCAATCAAATAAATATTTCATCATTCTTTTTCCAATATATTTTTTTGAAGTAACGGATTGTACAACAGAAAGTTCAACGTGTAGGTTCAACTGGGTTTGAATTTGATAATTAAATCATACAAAAATTACAGAAATTAGAAACTGAAAATTGTATCAACTTACCCCAATCTCTCCAATCTACACTACTTTATATGGATTCTTGGAAACGAAATATGCAGCAGTGAAGTAACCATGTACTCTTTCAATTGTGTCTTTCTTGATGGTAGCAGTGAATAAAAATGATACGAAAGATACAGTTAATAAAATGGCAATGTATTCATGTTACTTTTATTCAATATGAGCTACATTACTGTAAAAATACATTAGAAAATTTATTTAAAAAAGTGTTTAACAAAGTGATTGGTCTATATCGTTTAACAAACATCCACGGTTGATTATTCTTCAGCGGCGAATAAATCAGGGAAAGAATCTACGTACCTACACGAAGATCGTTAGTTTGTTCTAAACAAAGAAAGACGAGGTATGAAGGAAAGGAGAAAGGAGAGAGAAAGCAATCTTCCCATACTTTACCGCATCTCGTGCAAGCATTCTGCACTTTGTGTCTTAAAGTTCGTTCCGGTAAATTACCTTAAACGGTATTGTGGAGCTCTCGCGGAGCAAACGATCCAGCGCCGCGTTAACCTTACCTTGGTCAAACTATAACCTTTAACCTCTAAGAAGATCGGCAATATCGCTCGACTAGACGAGCGTTGGGTGATCGTTTAAATGGTATTTCACGAATTTCTGACGAAACGGGGTATAAATATTTTATTAAAATTGGCCGCCGAGGCTGCGCGATATTTAAAGGACATCCCGATCGAAGCGTTTTAAGCGGCGCAGCAGTTCTTTTGCTAAATATAAAATCACTGTGATGGTGGAACAAGTCGTATCTCCGGCGTAGTTATCGCTGCTAGGAAATGGTTGTCCTTTTCTGTTGCAATTGCGAAGGAAACGGATGTTTTCTGGTCCGGGATGCACTGTAAATATCAGTTTGCCTTGACTGAGCACCGAGTGCCAGCCCATTATGCGAAATTTACGATCCATTCCCGAGGCCAAAGTGTCCTGACGCAATATAAGCATTAATGTGCAACGGACAGCCACCACTGGGTCACGACTGCTCGAGCAGACACGAGAACGTACTCTTTCCGCAAATGGATTCTTTTCGAGACCGAAGTATTCGACATATTTAAAACTTTATAACGTTGGACGCAATATTCATAAAACCGAATAATTTATTGTATTGTGTTGATGCTGTAATCGGCTAACCGTTGTGTTACAGATTCTACGATAAATGCGGAATTGAGAATGAAGTTTATAAGACTTGCATATCAGTAATATATAAACGAAAAAAACTTGGGAGTTTTAAATAATTTTTAAACACAGAGAATTGTTGTTTAATAATAATAACTGGTACGAATGTTTTCATATATTTTACTAAAGGTACATCAGATTCTGGTATTAAGTATTATATTCGTTAAAACATTTTTCCTCCAGACGCAAGCTTTGCTCTCCCAAAAGATTCGAAAAATATCTTTTAAATATTCCTCCGACTTGCGTTTCTTTTCGCAGACGTTCGGAAGTACTTGCGTATATTATGGCAAGAAAAGTTTCGAATCTCCTTTACGGTATCTATGCTGGAAGAGCTTACGATTGCAAGAAGATTTTGACTACCACTGACACGTTCCTCTTTTTCCCCTTCCCCGGTATTCGGGAATAGAAAAACTCCGCGGGAAAGATCAACGGGAAGTCGTGTCTTCGATATCGCACGGCTTGACTCCTATTTCTCACGTGTACGGCACACGCGTCGCACGGCCACGATCCTGCCGGTAGAAATAACAAGAAAACGTTACAGCGATACGCCAGGAGCCGCAGCTTTTTTACCTCTACATGCAATAATATTTTTTCGATCGTATCTCAGTCGTCTCGCCGCCATTGTTACGCCATCTGGAGTCTCCGCACTTACATAAATATACTTTATGCTCGACAATATGTCTGAGCACAGAGGGACCGCAGTCTTTTCTTAAGAAAAAGAGCTGGGGGAAAGATAAAAGAGGATCAAGATTTAAAGAAAAGGAGCAAACAGAAAACCGTGTCGCTGGAAGAAAGAAATGATCAAAAATGAATATTCAGCTCGCGTGCATGGGAAGATACACCTGTACTCCGATGGCCTACAATATTTTATTATTAACAAATTTTGTAATTTTGAAAATTCTCGATGATGTATAACCACTCCAGCTAATAGAATTAAAATGAAATAAATCAATTCCTATTAATTCTTTATTTGGAACATTTGTCAAATTGATACTTTTGAAACGGTTCCATAATACACTTTACTTGTAGAACATTTTGGTACAAGCTCCCTCGATTTCAGTTACATTTTCAAATTATAAATTTCGCGATATTCCTATTTCAAAAAGAACAAAGAGAAAATATATGAATTTTCAAGACGATTATTAAAAATAATTACAGACTACATAAATAAACTTACCTCAGTATCCAAATACTACAACGTTACGTTCCATCACCGACGTGCACAAGCACACAGTCGCACGCTTTCGAACGCAACGCACGAATCACCGAGCACATCTGCATAATGGACGGCAGAACAATTGATCCCGCGGCGTGCCAAAAATTCGAGTGTAAAATCGAATGATTCCCGCGTGAGAGCCGATTGGCCCGCGAGTTTTGAGTGGCCGTGTAAACAGAGATAAAAAGGAGAGAATAAGGTCAGAAAAATGAAGAGGATCGTCGATTCCGGTGCGCTACGCTTGTCCTCGATTTTCTGGGGGGCATTGGCAGTCGCGGAGGTGTGCTCGCGAGGTATATAAAAGTCGGTTTTACGATCGAATCACGCGGCCAGAGCCGGCACGGCCCGGAATCGATGAGGGCTCGTAAAACTGCATCGATTTCTTCCTGGACTAGCATCGCC